CGAGGAGTATGAGCCCGAGGAGGTCGAGCTTAATTAGGCCTGGGAGCAGCATTGACTCCTCGGGATAGCCTGCTTGGGAGACTCTTCAAGGATTGGTATCATCACACTCAAAATATAAAAAATTTAGAAAATACAATTTGGAAATTTAAAAATATAAAATATTCTAAAAAATAAAAATTGAAATATTCTAAAAGTAAAAAATTTGAAAAATTAGAATCTAAAATTCTAAAAAATTAATTTTTAAAAAAAATAAAAATATTTTATTTTATTTTATAGTGAGAAAAAAAATATTGTAATATATATATATATATATAACAAAACATATTTTTTTAATTTTTTGTTCTGAGAAACAGTTTTTTAAAATGATAAAACTAAATTTTTGTTTTTATTAATATTAAAACAATATCTCAAAACAGAAATGAAAATGGACTAAAAATTGAAACACAAATCAACGTGCTACTCAAATTTTGACTTAAATGTTTGAAATTTGGTGCTTTTAAAGTCGATACGAAGAGGGACTGTCTATGTTTGAATTCTCAAATCACTAATGTCACTAATGTTATTTGCAGTCGCTCACTACTATAATTAATGTATTATATCACTAACCGACACATATATGCAACTTAAAACGAATACGGTATTGAGCGACAACAAATAGAATTACCTATCTCAAATACACTTATTATTTGAAGATAATTTTTCAAAATTCAAGTTTGGATAAGTTTCCTCGTTTTTCATCCAATTACACTATTCACAAAACTTTAATTCAGTCTAGTGATTTTAACCGATTATAGTAGCAAACGGCTACAGAGAAGTTGATTAAAAGAGGCACAACATGTGTGTTGAATTTTCAAATGCACCCATTTTTCAAGAAAATTTTCGACATATCAAGTCAGTATAAGATTTTTCACCTTTCATCAAATTGAACTATTCTCAAACCTTTAGGCTATGAAAAAATTCCATTTCCACTCTTAAATTAGTGTTTGATAGGCAACATTTTGCATAGAAAATGAATTCTCACCCACGCGCCCCTTGTCCAGCATTTTGAGGAATTCATTTTCCCAACTTTTTGGTGGGAAAAGAAATTCCAGCTTCTGGCAGATTTTTTTTTACAATGGAAAAAAATTTTATAACCAATTGTAAAAAGAAATTCACTTTAATGGATAATTTACATGTAAAATGAAGTCAAACGAATACTAAACTTTGATGAAAAATAGTTTTCGAACAAAATTTTATTTTTTTTAACTTTTTGGCAATGGTAACAAATTTCATAACCAATTGTAAAATAAAAAATTTCACTTTAATGGGCAATTTCCATATAAAAAAAAAAAAAGTTAAACGTGAACAAAAAGATCCAAAATTTTAAAATTAATAATTCCCTGCAAAACAAGTTTTAGACAATTACTTTCCTTGAAATTCATTTTCTTTTCATCAATTTTCCACCCTGACAATCAGACGGGCCCTCACTTCAGTCTTACAAATGTACTTCCTAAATAGAAATTACACATATAAGGTCAATATTGTATATCATGTACTTGTGCATGTAAACATGCAACCAATATATAGAGAAATTAACATATTAATCCATATTTTAGATTACAACTTTTTCATATCAATATGTAAACCGATTGATCGTTGACCCGATCATACCATTTTCTCGTAATCGTCCACATCAAGTGAATTGTCTTGGGTGTCTCATTCATCGAATCCACTATAAGCAACTAGCTCCAACCCTCAATAAAATTTATATGCATAGGAAACCATAAACTCAATTACTCAATGCATGACCAAAATATGCAGGTATTAACTGACGCGAACATGACGGTATACTCAATGCAACAAATGTTATGATGAAAGCCATCCATATCCCAACTTCATTTTACTGTAAACATAGGAACATTACAAGAGGAGCCAGACAACAATATTGAGTTCTACTTCCCAATATCATTTATCATCTACTGTAGCACTAAACACTAAACAAAGATAAAATCCATCGAGACATTCTTGAATACATTGGACAATTGGTTCCTATACAAAGGCCAATATCACAATTTCGAGCAGGAAAATGAGCAACAGTAACATGTCTGAAACAGAAGCCTTAGAAGTTACGGAAAATGACCACTAGATGCTTCAATCACAATTGCCACAACTATGAAGCTAGAACCCTCTCAATTGCAGCCACATAGAACTCCTTGGGCATAGTACCAATTACAGATTCGCATTTTTCACCATTCTTGAACAGCAAGACCACTGGCACAGCCTTAACATCACAACTCTCAGCAACTTTCAAGTCATTGTCAGCATCAAGGACAAAGCATTTCAGACTCCCAGAATATTCTGTTGCAATCTCATCAATGATCCGGTGAACCATCTGGCATGGCCCACACCAGCTAGCATAAAATTCCACGAGTACAGGGACGTCACTTCCCAAAATCAGTTTATCCCATGATTTCCCAGTAACAACAGCAGCTGCACGATCAAAGACAAAGCATTTGGAAGAGTGTCAATCTGTCGTATGCAAATATCAATCTTCATCAATCATTGATATGAAGGAAAAGCACTTGATTATTAAGTAATATTATAATCAGATAACGATAAGTATTTATTTCACAAAGTTTTGAAAGAAAAACTAATTTCAGATTTTTCTACCTGGCATTTCTTTCAATAATAGAAAGAAATATTTAAAGCTTGATATTATTTCTCATCGAAGAATAGAATTTCACCAGTAAATCAGTGAGGTTTTATCACTCCAATCAAACCCACGAAGTTCCTCTTTTTAGGATCACCATCACACACGTTAAGAGGAGGATTATGCATCCTGGGTGCGCGCGCGCGTGAGAGAAGAGAGAGAGGGGAAAAAAAACATATAAGAAATTCATACATCTGTGAGAGGTTGAGACTTAACTATCTGCTGTTGATTTCACCATTTAGACATTAATTCCAGTTTAGATGATAGAAAGCAAATGAATGGTTTAGATGCCTAAGACTGATTTCAAATGTATGAACAGAATTGGATCTTAAAACTAGCAATTGAAATTTTACACACTCGAAGTCATAATATGAAGGTAGCTTGCTTACTCACAGCCACTAGTTAGACGGGAATCCCTTGACTTTGCTTAGCTATATTCAAGCAAGCATTCCAGCTCACATAAAACTTTATGTGCAAAACTGCATATAGCCGCCATCTAGGCGCCAAACTTTCATTTAAATCTTTGTTAGGTTTGAAATATAACCTAACCAGTGGATTCAATTACTGAAAAAAAAAGTTAAATTTGAAGGATTGTTCCTCTCTAATGAAAAAAAATGTCTTGCTTCTGATCTGAAAAATAGCCTTCATATTCAACTTTGGATATGTTGCTCTTCGGAAAGAGTGCTTACAAACCACTTGAGAAACCTTAAATAGATATCTAAATTGCATAGTTGAAATATCAAGAAAACTGCAAGTCTGCAACCATTCTTTCTTGCTTACATTCTATAGTTTCTTCATCCTTATATTTTTCATACTTGGATTTCTGGGTCGACTTTAGATTGAAGAACGTTTTATGGACTGCGCGGTGTATTCTCTAAATTTGTTGACTGTTGATTCCTGAGTGTAGAAGTGTCGAGTAGCCTCTTGCACCACAAGGAGATATTATTATCATCGAGAAGTTTCTTTAAGAGGTGTTTATAACAATTCTCGGTTCTATTCATAATTTTATATTGATCCATCTAAATCTCGACATCTTCTAACATTTCTTACTAGAGAATCCACACCAAATTTTCACCCCAGTTTTGTCAGCTCGTGATAAATCTAGCCTATAGACTCTATTTTCAATCTACAAGCAAGCAATTAATTAGTCTTATAAAATGCACATTTACTAATCAATTCTACAGTACCCATTTCATGTTTTAGCGTAAATCAGATTAAAACACCAAGAGGAAAACATAAATAATTTTGCAGACGATTTTTATACCAATCATAACTAAAACTATCACAAAAGATATACCTAAAAATTACCGAAAGTAGTGATCGCGGAAAACCAATGCGATTCAATTGCAAGAATTAAAGATTTGATTTACCTTTGGTGTCGTGAAGGCAGAAGACCCTGTGAGATTGGGGTTTTCGGGCCTCGGAGGTCCATTTGAGCCGTGAAGGGAGTCCGAATGGGTGACTGAACTGCATTTGAGACAGGGAGTGTGATGAAAGCAGAGGCAAAGAACGAGAGAGAGAAGAGGGAGCAACAGAGTAACAAGCAGTAGCACAAAATGGTAACGCCATTTTTTTCCCGATAAATCCAAATCCCACGATTGATCTCTCAGTATGAAACGATACTGTGGCGATCCGTCTATGAATCAGCGCCTATACAACCTGTGTATAAATGTGTCGACGTCTGTGTGAAAACGACGTCGGGCACGTGGGATTTATTTTTTTCATCCTAGTTGGATAATTACTTGAGTTTTTGGTCATAATTCAGAGATTATTTTACGAAAATGTGACCATCAGTTCTGATGTTACTTCTCAACATAGATGAGTTTTGCACTCTTAAAAGGAAAATATGGGTGTCGTTCTTGCATTGAATGGTAATGGTTAAGATATTGAAGGCTCGACCCTTTACCTGGCAAGTTTTGCTGTGTTCATCAAGTTTTTTTCACATGGCTGGCTGTCCTTTTCTTGCTGAGTACTATGCTATTTTAGAAGGTCTACGATTTGTAAAATCACTGGCTCTCAACATTTCGCTATTGGAGTCTGATTACATTAATGCGGCGATGACATCGTGAGAGGGCGCTCTTCTCTACGTTGCTTTATTTTTGCACTACATTTCCTTTTATTAGAATAAATTTTAATCTGGCTTGAGCCAAACAAGTAACTCGCGCTTTGGGTGAATTCATCGTAATCCACCTTTGTGATCAGGAATGGCTCGAAGAGTCTCCTCCAAGTTCATTTCCAAGTCAATTTTGATTGATTTTAGTGAAAGCTAACCTTTATGTGTCAAACTTTATATGCTTCTGTTTGTTTCCACTACTTTCACCCGAAAAAATGAGAACTTTTACCGTTGGAATAGTGTCTAACCGCAACAGTTGACCATTTTGTGAGTGAGTCCCACTATTTTGAGAAAAAAAAGTCAAATTTCTCATTTTGTTGTTGAGAGTAGTGGAAACAAACTGATATCTTGAAATATTATGACTATCTATACGATATATGTCAATTTCTAATTTCTCCTCATCTTTTACTTCTATCATTTAACACCCACATATTTTCAATTGTCATGCAGTAAAACCCTCCATTAAGAAATACGTAATGTAAAGCACAAAATCCCAAAAGAAGGAAAAAATAAACTCTTCTGTTTCCTTCCACAAATACTAGCGCACCCCATTTTGGAGATTAAAGTAACACAATCCGTGGTGAATCTTCAGCAAAATTAATCAACCTTGGAAATGTTCTCAACCGCTAAGATTGATTTTTTTTAAAAAAAAACCCTTAAATTAACCCAAAAAAGGGTCATAGGATGGAAGTACTATTAGCACCAAATTATTGCACATGTACAATGAGCTACAACTTCCATCACACATTACCAGCTGCCCAAAGGATAGATAAATGAACCATTTTTTTATCAGACTTTGCACCTGTCAAGTCGGAAATGTACCAAGTTCAACCCATCAAATCTAGCATCCGAACTGCAAATATTGAACCTATGCATCTTGGGCCACCACGGGGATGATGCTATGTTTCTTATTCCATTCTTGGCACGTCATCTTCAACCCTCAATTACCTCGTAAATGTTTTGTTACATCACATGCTGCTAGTCTTCAAGGATGAGCGGTAAGATATTAGTTGCTAATTCATTGTCTTTTCAGCACAGATGAAACAGCATTACATTCTGAAAACACCATATTTTGTACTCTCTGGCTTGCGGTTCATGGATGCAGCAATGCAAAGGCCCACGATTTTTCTTGTATCAGCTGGATCAATGAGGCCATCGTCCCAAAGCCTGACTGTGGAATAATATGCACTGCATTCTCGATCATATGCCTCCACAACACTGTCCCGGAAATTTTCTTCCTCCTTGCTCCACTACGAAAGATGTTTAAAAAAGTGATATTTACATTAACATTTTGTTTCCAAAACTGTTTGGATAAGTTAATTTTTTTCTTATATGTAAAAAAGTTACTTGTTTTGAAAGTAACTACTTATTTCCAACACTATCCAAACAAATAGCTTACTTATTTTCAACTTTGCCCATAAAAAGGATTATTTATAAATTTATTTACTTTTAAGCTTAGTAGTAATCTTTTTGAGCTCAGTCAGACATGCTCACATTTTCAAAATTGAAGTAATACCTGAATTCCAGCCTTCTTCCGGTTGCCCCTTTCTATCTGAGCCAGCACCCGGCAGCCTGAACAGGGCCACGAGAATTAACAACTGATAATGGGTTTTTAGAAGTACACAGCAGCCAATTTGGCTCTCAGAAGCTAATATTACTCTCACAACGCTGTCTCAATTTACTGCTATTATGATAAGTTGGAAATTTAAAGAAATAATGTTGTTGCTTGCAATAAACTAAGAACGCAAGAGATACTTGATAATAAGGACAAAAAGGTAAATGAGAATCCTTGCAAAAAAGGCTTGACAAATTTTACCATTTTTATGGGGTTTCAAATGGCTGAAAATTTTTATACACAAGTCACTATATGAAACCAACTTCAATTTGTAAGGTTTTGAACCACTGAAACTTTAGGAAATAAAAATCCTGTTGTCAATTCTAAATCTAGCCCAATCTTGTGATTTCTAACCCAATGCAAGTATGAAGCTACCTGAGCTCCTCCCATCGCAGATATTCTGGCATTTGGCCAAAAGAACATAAAATCAGGGCTGTATGCATGTCCACACATTGCATAGTTTCCTGCTCCAAAGCTTCCTCCAACAATAACTGTAATTTTGGGTACCTACAAGTCAAATTATTTAAAAACTTTTTGCAATCATTTTCAGAAATATGTCAAACTTGATAAGCAGGGTGTCTAGTTACCTGCTAATTCTGAAACTAATTTACACGAGCGGGGAAAATTTGCATCAAATTACTGCGAGTGATAGGAAGAAAAGGTACCATAAATCCAGTGATGTTCTGGAGAAAGATTAAGGGAATGTTGCGTTGAGTGCACAATTCGATAAGGTGAGCTCCTTTTAAAGCAGATTCATTAAATAATATGCCATTGTTTCCAAGAATCCCAACAGGTTGCCCATGAATTCTTGCAAAGCCTGTTACAAGTGTCTGTTCATGACAGAAGAGAGGGACAAATACAAGATTATATCAAAAAAACAAACACCAAAAAGCATATATGAGTGGAGAAGTAGAGTTGGAAGGAATAAGAAAACCTCACAGTGCCATACAATTTCTTGAATTCATCAAATTCACTTCCATCTACAATGCGAGCAATAATAGATCGGATGTCTAGCGACTGCTTGAGGTCTGTTGGTGCAATAGAACGAAGTTCTTCCACATCATACAACGGCTCTTTGAAATCAGATACCACATGATCATTTGCACCGCTGGCCACGTGCAAATTCTTAATTATATTCCTCCCTATAGCAAGTGCGTCTGCAAGATAGAGACAATTTTGACCGCTATTCAACAACGCCACAAATAATAACTGCAAAGAATAAATTTATGCTTTACTGCAAAGATATAAAAGGTTTACCTTGGGCAAAGTAGTCTGAAACACCTGAAGTCCTAGAATGCACGGTTGCACCCCCCAAGTCTTCTGCAGAAACCTCTTCTCCTGTAGCAGCCTACTAAAACATCAATTTAGAAATAAACTAAAGCTTCAATTAAGGAATGGAACACATAAAAGTCATAATTCTAGAAAACTTGGAAAATGAAGATTCAAGATACACAGTAAAAACAAATAGAAGGGGATGAAAAGCGAAAAGATACAGTATGTAAGAGTTCCAAAGATTACAACATGAAGCATTTTCAAATACCAGAACTTAAATAACCTTTACAAGTGGAGGTCCAGCAAGAAATATGGTTCCATTTCCTTGGACCATTACACTTTCATCCGCCATTGCTGGTATGTAAGTACCAGCGCAATTTGGGGAATGCCTTCTGCAGGCATCACTGCTTGATTGTAGAAAATTCTAACAAAATTTTCCTTGTCAGGAAAGACCTCGGCTTGCTTTGGAAGGAAAGCACCTACACTGTCCACAAGATACATGCAGGGCAGTCTGCATTTAGCTGCAATCTCTTGCGCCCTTAGATGTTTTTTGACAGTGATGGGATAATATGTTCCACCCTTCACAGTGGGGTCATTTGCCACAAACATACAGAGTTTTCCATGCACAGGTCCAACTCCAGTAATTATTCCACCAGATGGCAAAGGCTCTTCATATAATTCATGGCCAGCAAGCTGAGTTCACCAAAACATTAATTCAAGTGAAGTATAGTGTGATACTGAGTCAATATTTTAGTACCATTTCAAAGTAACAAGTCATTTTGTTCAATTAATTGATAAAAGAAAAGTTGTGTTAATCTAACAACCCACTCCCAACACCAACACCACCACCACCACCAACAACAACAACCAGTCAAGCCTTGTTATCATAAGCTCTCGCCACACAAATTCTTTGTTGCCAGTCAGTTTGATTGAACTCTAATTTTAATGAAATTAAATCTTTTACAACCTTTTCAAGCCTTTATAATTATGGTTTGTTTTCCTCTTCAAATGTATCCTACCAGGATCGCATCAACTCGAGGACGGGAGTTTCTATAAATTATGGAAGACACAACCCAACTACTTAAATAGTCATTCGTTCTACTTACCTCCATTAATACTACCAACCACAAATTGGCACGAATCCTTATTTCCTATTTTTCTGTTCTGGTATGAGAATGCATCGTTCTGACATCCTCTTTTATGTTGTATTCATTTCATAGTCCAGCACTCGGTAATATAAAACATAATTGGTCCGATAGCTGTTGTTCAAAACTTCCCATTTCATCTAAGTCACCCTCATCTTAAACATAACATGCTCTCAAGGTCCACCTTCCATATCTAGAAAGAGACATTCTTTGAAATAAATGATCCTCTATCATAACCCACCTCACCAATAAAAGAGAAGAATGAAAATTGACAATTGCATATTGATGTTAAGGCAACACTCCAATGTCTCGGATCAATTCATCTAGAAATATTGGATATGTGAAGACTGGCTTACTAGGAAATCATTGTGTTAAGTACGATTGAGCGAGATTGATACACATAGACTAATCATATTAATGAGTATGAACCATTACATCAATCCTACAATATGAACAAATATGCCCAATATGGTCTCAGCAACGCCACAAATGGAACATAATAATGTAGTTCTTTGCTTAATGATTTCCATGACAATGTAATTCTCCATTCATTTTTTCTGTCCTATTCTTTTATTTTTCACAATGTGTCGTGTACAACTCGGACACTCGAGACAATGTACCCACCAAACGACGTGCCCCTGTCTAATTTTATATATATTTTTAAATTACCGATAGTCACTCGAGGATGCTTTAAAGAAATGAGCAAGCACCCGTGTCCGATAATAAGAATTATAAAAATAAAGATATAATAATATGAATCTAAAATTTTAAAGAATAAATCACGTAATTGGGAATCCAAAAAAAAGTTAAAATCAGAGTGAAAAATAACCTGAGAAAGCTCAAGAAATGCAGAACCGGGATCAATCAAGCGATCAATTCTCTCCCTAGGAAGAAGCTTATTCCTACTCCTGTTCCTCTTCACAGCCTCCTGTCCTCCTCCATTCAAAACCTTCCACAATAAAATCACAATGCCAGTTAATTTTTTTAAAATAAAATAAAATCAGGCATCCATAAATACAAATTACAAACAATCACAATCTATGATATACACTCACAGATAAAGTCAAGAAGAAAGATGAGTGATACCATTTGAATATGAGGGTGGAGTTGGGAAATGTGTCCTTCCATAACCTTGGAGTTGGTAGCGAAGGATTCGGAGCCCCGGTCGACGGGTCGAGTGTGTCGGCTAGGACCCCTAAACAGAAGTTCCGGGTGCGGCTCCGAGCCGAAACTGATAATCTTCCAGCTAAAATTTCAATCATCTCTCTCTCTCTATAGTTCCTAAGTATACTTCTCTCTAAAGCGTTTCCCATTTTAATACGGCAGCAGTGCCTATCCCGTGGTAGGCTCCGTTTGGTACACATTTTTTAAAGAAGAATGTATTTTTATTGTTAATGTGACGGAGAATATGTGATTAAAAAAAATGAAAAATTATTGATTTAATGGAAAATATTATTTTATTTTGGAATGTGTAGTTAAAAATGAGTAAAAAATTAAGAATGAACCAAAGTAGAAGTTTGTCACTTGAGCCCTTGTTTTCCATAAACCAATTTGTTGTTTCTTTTTCTTTATTTTATTTGTGAAGTTCTAAAATATGCTAAAGAATGTGAGCGCAAACAATTATAGCTAATCAATTCTGGTCTCGTGCGCGCCGCGCGCAGGGCTATCCTGCGCACAGGAGACCAATTTTCCTTTGTGTGTCAGCCAAGGCTGACACACAAAACCTTTTTTTAATTTTTTTTTCATATTTTTATTCCACNCAGGGCTATCCTGCGCGCAGGAGACCAATTTTCCTTTGTGTGTCAGCCAAAACCTTTTTTTAATTTTTTTTTTCATATTTTTATTCCACTTTTTTTTGTCTCAATTTTGCGAGATTATTACGGTAAGTCAAACGAAGTCGAAATATTACATTCTTAATACCATTTCAAAGTACTCACGACCTAGTTTATCCCCTCACTAACGGCGTGCAAAATGGCCAACCGTAGCAAAAGTTACCACTCGTCGAAGTAGGCCGTTCCAAAATATATAAACGATTTTTCTTATTTTTTGAAACGACCTACTTCGACGAGTGGTAACTTTTGCTACGGTTAGCCGTTTCGCACGTCGTTAGCGAGGGGAGAAACTAGGTCGTGAGCACTTTGAAATGGTATTAAGAATGTAATATTTCGATTTCGTTTGACTTACCGTAATAATCTCGCAAAATTGAGACAAAAAAAGTGGAATAAAAATATGAAAAAAAAAATTAAAAAAAGGTGGCTGACACACAAAGGAAAATTGGTCTCCTGCTCGCAGCCCTGCGCGCGGCGCACAGGAGACCAGAATTGTATAACTAATAATAATAATAAAAAAAAGGTACAAAGATTTCAAGATTTTTAAAATTAATACAAGGGACAGGTGCCATCAATCCTATAAATGAAAATACTCCTACACGGGATAGGTTCCATCAATCATGGAAAAGGAAAAAAATCTACAAAATTCTCACATTATAGATTCTTCCATGGAGACAAAGGGGGAATCTTACATTTTTCTCTCCCTTTTCTTTTCATGTGCAAAATTAAAAGAGCAAGGAATCGAATCCTTCCCTTGAATGGACGAATTTGAAATTGATCGTGGAATCAAGCATATAGAACACAGACAATATGAGGTAATCAAATACTACATTAATCGAATCTAAGGTAAATATCAGAAGAACTCGAAGGTCAAATGAGAAGCAAAATAGATACCAGACAAGCCCCAATCTCATATTACAATAATGGTTCTATAGTTTACAGCATGTCACTCTTTGCTTCTGTACATAAAACTACCTACACAATATATATAATGAGATATGAATCAGATCATAATACACCATCTAATTCTATTCACTAATGACGATCAATAAATTCGTGGGCTTAACTCTACCAAGGTCCCGTCAGCGCCCTTCTCAAGCATATTCGTTTACATGCCCGCGGCAGAATTGTTTCGTCTGATATCTGTAAACAAACAAAACAAACATAAACCACAAGATCTACTGGCAAGGAAGAACAAGGAAATGAGCTCTACTCGGATGAGTTTCAAAATGCAGCAATTTTGCTTTTTGGTTTTAACGTTTAGACTCTTATAAATAATTGACATTGAGCTAGCACTGCCACTTTCAGCAAGATAATTTGAACTCTTCGGTTTAGTAAGGAAAATGAACGGTAGCGATGACATTCTAGTAATGGTGACTTTATTTCTTCATAGCATACATACGATTGAAGAAAATATAATGATCTGCCTTTTTGGTAGCATAAATTAGTGCATATTTACTGTGGAACTTACTCTCGCTCAACAGGTATTTTTTGTTAGTCAAGACCTTTCACACTGTTACAGAGACTTTCACACTGTTACAGAGATGTGAATGCACGAATTTGTAGCAGTTTAAAAGTTTTGTACCTGATTTTTCTGCATCTCCATATATTCTGCCTGTAGAAATATGAGAATACAGCAAGAACTTCTGTCAAAATTGTGAATTTCCAGTAGCATCTTGTAAAGTTTAATCTTACCACCCAAGTGGACGTACCTGTTTTTTCCGAAACTCTTGGTTCATTTCTCTGAGCTTTGCTATTTCTGCTTCCAATTCCAAGGTATATGCCTGCCATAATTCCATTCATGTTAAGAACATTATGAATTGAGAATATGTATAGTAAACTAAAAATGTGAATCTTGTGCAGGAAAAACTTAAAATAGTCCCATAGTTATGAATAATAAGAAATGCAAACTCCACATACCAAAGTGAATAGTAAAACATATCTAAATATGATAGTATATGGGTTTCACATGTCATCAAGTCCCTTTAAAATCAAACTCAGTCATGCTTTTTCATGTGTCGCTGCAGTTATTCAAGAACAAAAGAAGTGTGTGATTATGTGTCAATATTAACATGATCTAATCTCACAGGACTCAGTAAATCAATATTTGTGGTTATGATAACTCTGGTCGACAATTTCCAAAGAAGAAAAAAGAGGGCATATCTTCGTCTGGATAGTTATCAGATTGTGTCGTTTTCCTATTACTAACATGTCCATCATCAAGTGGTTGCGAAGTCATGTAACAAACAACATAGTCCCTAAAATATTCCTAGTCAAATTTAATCATCAAGCTGGATTATTCTATAATTATTGTAGTAACTTTAATCAATATCCATGAGAAAGGTTTTAAAAACGTTATTATGTGACGGTGCCAAAATGCAAACAGTCATTTTCTGTCCTGGCAATGCGGAAATCCAACCAGTACAAGGGATGCAGCAAAAAAATCTGTCATTCCAATATAGTTTTAAGAATCACAGGTTGTGAATCCTCAGTTTAGTCTCTCATTATCAAGTTTATACCACTGGCCATATAGTTACTCTTTAACTGAACATTGAGTTATGCATCTTCTCACCTCGCTGCCAAATAAGAAGGAATGAACATTCACGGGCCACAAGAACCAAAAACCATAAATAATTTTGCAAGCAGTATAAAGGAATACAGAAGAAAGATGGGGTGTTGTAAATTCACCTGCTTCCGAGACCGTGACCTTGCAGCAGACTCTCTGTTTTTCATCATTCTCTTACGCCTTCTCTCCACTACTTTCTCCAAAGAAGTAGATGATCTCCTTCCTCGACCACCTTCACGAAATGCACAAGGATAAGGGGTCAGTGAAGATGTATCTACATCACTCTTAGCAATTGTATCTGAAGTTAGAAGATTTCCAGGAGACCTTCCTGCAACTGTCGAGCCCCCATTGCGTAATGTCCCCATGGCCACTGCTCCACCTTGAACTAGAGTATTATTCAATAATCCAGCACCTGGACCTTTTACCCCTGGGCTAGCCAGCTTTCCATTGTTACCAGGTTGCATGAGGGATGACAAAGTCATTACCGTTTGTTTGGGAAAAAGAGGCTGTGGCTGCCTAGGTTGTTGCTCAAGAGATATAACACCACCCAGCTTTCCATTGTTACCAAGTTGCATGGGGGATGACAATACCGTTTGTTTGGGTAAAAGAGGCTGTGGCTGCCTAGGTTGTTGCTCAAGAGATATAACACCACCCATATTCTTCTCCAAGGCCTGCAAATTATGAACTACATTGTTGTTCTTTGCATGTTGATTACCCAACATACCTTGGTTCCGAGATGGCTGTTGAAATCCTATAGTTGAACCATTGTTGAAACCACTTGCTGCAGGTAAACCGCCATAGATTCCATTGTTATTTGCTAGCCATGAAGGCTGGATATCTTCTCGAACAACCCCTGCTCTTACCAAGAACTCTTCTAATGTCATTTCACCCAAAGTCGGCTGCCTCACTTCCAAATTTGATCCCCCATCAGCACTTCCATCTTTTGCACCAACAGTTTCTTTAAGTACATCTCTCCACACTTCATCAACAGTTTTCTGACTTAGTGTACGTGGCAGGGATAGAGATCCTTGCCTCTGCAAATTTCCAACTGGGGCGATCCCATTTCCGCTGCCGGGACAAGAAGACATGGCCTGCGTCTCTTCAGCCGTCCAAATGCTTTTCAAAAGGTCCTCCATGTTCATAGATCCAAATTCCTTTCCAGGTCCAGCCGAAGTGTTCTGGAACTCATCAAAGGTCAAGGAATATACAGATGATTGTCGAGCCAATGGATAATTACCCACTGGTGTCCCCCCGTTGCCATCAGGCTGCACTGTGTCCCCAAAATTCTTGAAGTTCATGTATGACCCCATTATAGAAGATTGCCAAGAGAGCTACAAGCTGACCAAATATTATAATCGTCACAATTTAGCATCCAAAGTAGATTATCAACCAACACAGGCATATACACCTGTTTAATAATTCAAGAAAGAGAACAAATAGAATTCTGTGTTCCCCTTTCCCAGCTTTCATTTACTTCTTTTTTCCTCAAAAATATGAACATGAACAACCAAATCAAGGAAGAAGACAACGGGAGAAAATGATTAAAACGTTTCAGTACAAATTTTGGATAAAACATCATGCTCCTGAATCAATTTTTCATATGCAAGGCTAAATTAAAAAATTAAAAGATAGATGTTAAAAACTCAAAACAGATCTTCCTTTGAAGTACTTAAATACTAAAGAAAAATCAATACTTAGCTTTAAAGGGCAAAAAAAACAGGGCAGAGAACACTTAGGGTTGTTCTTTTTCAGACCATTTTCAGTTTTGAAAACACGGAAAAGATGAAAATACGTTTACTTACCTATTTTTAGAAACAAATTTTCAAAAACGAGTTTAAAATTTACAAAGAAAAAGAAAAATGCCAAAAAAATCGTTTTGAATGTTTTCAGTTAAAATCAAACCAAATCTTCATTTTTTTTTATTTTTGAAAACAAATTTTCAAAATAACAAAAAGAACGCGTTTTCAACAATTTGAATGCTCAATACACAAATCACAAAATAAATTCAAAACTAAAAACTGAAACAAGAACATGAACAGGAACAGGAACAGAACAGGAACAGAACAGCCCATTGGTTGTTTGGTACATGTATTCTGTCTACGTAATTCATAGTGACGATTAGTTTCATATCTATAATTCAATAAGGGCAAAAACAAATAAAACCCAATACAACGTTCATATACTATTAACACACAGTTTTTTTTTTCTCTTTTGCTTTCTTCTTCTTCGCAAGCTCATTTGCAGGTCCAAAAAACAACCAACACCAATACCGAATCCAGCAAAATTTATTTAAAAAATAATAATAATAATAATAAATCTTCCAATCAAAACCCCGCACCCTTCCGTCGTGCATAAATGGGTAATTCAGTGGACGAGAATTCAAAAAACTGTAACACTATACCCAAATTACAATTTAGTTCCCATTGTTTCAAAGATCACCCAATTCAATAAAATCGGAACACGAAAAAAACTATAAAAAGAGAAAAAGAAAAATATGTTATTCATATGCAGAAAGTAGAGGGAAGTATTTGACAACACAGAGACGAAATTACCCTTGTAAGAGATCGTGTCGTTTCCTTCTTCTTCGCCTGTTAATGTTTCCTGGAGGCGACAAGTGTCTTGCACCTTTTGACACGAGTCCTTCTATTTAAAGCTTCAGTATCTTCTTTCTTTACGTGTTTTTAATTACACGGACGGTGTAATCTTTCGAAACGTGGACCAATTGGAGTGAAATCTTGATCCGATGTGATGGATAGACCAATTACAGAGTGTAACGTGAAGTCTTCAACCGTGAGGATATGCTAGGATATTATGGCAGACGGATGGTTTTGATTGGCGGATTTGCGAGTGGGGATAGTGGAGTGTACGGAGAATTTGATGAGAGCGAGTGGATTAGTGGTGCACTATAACTAAGTTGAATGAACATAATGCTTGATCGATCTCTTATATTGTTTGTGGATCTCGACTTGAATTAAAAAATATCGACCTCCTCCATGTGTGTGTATGGTGTCGTTCCCTATGTCAAACATTATGTTTGTGTAGCAAAACTCGATGCACTATGAGGGTGCATCACTCATAGTCTCGTGTACAAATAATAAAAAGAGGCAACTTGGATTAACTTCTGTGAATTAACGTCGAGCCACGAGTAGGCAATGTCAAACACGAATATAGCACGGTCTACTAATGTTGATTTCTACTTTGATTTGTTGTTTGTGACGTTATTTGCGGATTGTTTGGTGAGCAAAATTGTGTCATGCATCCATTATCTATTTGGTGAAAATAATTTATTAGTAAATTTGATTTATTTATTAATAATTCCAAACGTGGATTGAGCACATTGGATTTGAGGCAAGTATAGTCTACGAACCTTATCGCTAACAAGGAGATGTTATACGTATTGTCAAAAGTGTTGCCTAATCAACTACAATTGCCCATGCTGACTTAATTAAGACCACTGAACGTTGCATGTTCTTTTAAATAGTCATGCTATTGGTGGAGAGTGCTGTTGACATGGTTCAATCTTGGATATTGGGTGGGGAAGAAAAAGATAAATTTGCAATACGTAAAAAGTATGATTTTTTTAGAGTATATTATGGCCATCGCGAATCATGGATTGTGCAAGTTTGTTCCCCACAAGTTATACAAGTAGCCAGCGAAGAGAGCGGGAGAAGAAATAGGACAAGGTCAATTGGAAGGAGGTGATGGATGAAGAGCGGGAGGCGATGGACATATCAGCTAATTTGTACGTATATTGAAGAATTCCAAATTGGCGATATAATCAATTAAGTTAAAGTTAAGTGAATCGCTAGCCATAAATTGAAGTTCGGTGATCTAATTTCAATTGGAGCGAAAGTTCGATGATCATAAGTATAATTAACCCCAATAATAATTACATTCGTTTGGGGAAGAGTTTATCAATAATTTAAGGGATGATTGCGGCCTCGATATCAAACCTTTTATTTTGTTGAAGATTTAACCCAAACCTTTCATTTGTGTTCCCACTATACCAAACCTTTCAAAAATTTGTACTTGAAATCTAAGTAGATGGAAATCATCCATTTGACTATTAGTTGACCAGGATAATTAATTTTGACCAAATATATAAATGGGCCAAATGGTAATTTTACAATTTTAACATAAAATAATTAAAAAATTAAAAAAAAAAAAAACATAAAAGAGCAACCATTGTTCATCTCCTTCACCAACCCACCACCTGAAAATCATCACAACTAACACCACCGGTCACCGCCACCACCGTCAGCATCACCTGAAAATTGTAACAATTTTCAAAATCAGATTTTAACTAAGGAAACAAAAGAAATCCGCTGATGTGAAAATTATTAAGTATCCTGCAATTGTTTAATCTGGTGTGGGGTGAGGGACCAAAAAAAGAAGAAAGGAAAGAATTCCCAAGACAAATCAATAGCCCAGCTCTCGTTATGCACATGACTGTACACAATAGCCTGTCTACTCTGCAAACTCCCAGCTTTCCCCAACTTTGGCATCTCACTCGACAACACTAACTTCACCTACGTGCACTACCATAAACAAATTTCCGACACAAGAAAAGACACAACAAATACATTCTATCAAACATTTAAATTACAATCGAATTAAGTTGTTCATTGCATACATTTGAGAGCCGGGAAGGCAGATCGGGCACATCAATATCTATTGAATCATTGTATAGGCGAATTATGTGCTCCAGTAGCCATTTGTTTGCCACCTCATCAACGAACCTAGCTTTCTCAAATGGGTGGACAGATTCATGATCGAATTACAGGTCGGGCTAATACGTAAAAAAAAAAAGAAAAAAAATGTACACATGATATTTTATTTTATTTTACATAATTTTTCTTCTAACTAAAATAGAGTGGGTGGGGACTGGATTGGGCTACAGCTCGGCACAGCTCCCCACCACCACCATCCGTCCCTAAATGGGTCATCGGTGTGTAGTACTCTAAGTGTCGCTTCCACTAAAATTTCTCCATTGCTTTTGCTCATTTCTCTCTCTTCGCTTCCTTCTCTGAAATTCAAATAGATGGAAAAAATTTCAGGTTACTTTACAATTTCCTGGATTTCCTTAGTTAAAATTTGATTTGAAAATGTTACAATTTTTAGGTGATGCCGACGATGGTGGCGGTAACGATGACCGGTGGTGTTGGCTGTGATGATTTTCAAGGGGTGGGATGGGCTGCGTTGGTGAAGGTGATGAACAGTGGTAGCTCTTTTATATTTTTTCTATTTTTATTGAATTTTTTAAATTATTTTATGTTAAAATTGCAAAATTACCATTTTGCCCATTAATATATTTGGTCAAAATCAGTTACTTTGATCAACAAATGATTAAATCCAATCACTAGGACTTCAAGTTCGAATTTTTGAAATGTTTGGTATAGTGAGTGGATGGCACAAATGAAAAATTTGGATTAAATCTGCAACAAAGTGAAATATTAAAAATATAGACCAATAAATGATTTTGACGTTTTTTTCGCTAGTTGCGCACCAAGCTCTCGCTCAAGTGCTCAAAGCAAGGAGCCTGACACTCGCTCACCGCCAACCCGCTACTCGAGCGGTGGGTACGTTGCTTGCTCAACGTTAGACTGGCGCTCAAGCGTAGCTGTATTTCGACCGAAGATTGTTTTCTCTATTCCACACATTTTTTTAATGTTCTTTCCATCTTTGACACTATAAGTAGGGTTTGACAATGTATTCTATATAAGTCCATGCCAAACATTTTTTGTTATTTAGCAGAAGAAATATGACATTGATGAGATATGAATGATCAATATATACTCATGTGCACTTGTGTAAAAAGGATAGTATTGATATGTAAGTTTAATACGTTTAATTATCTTTCTCTTTTGGTTCAATATTTCATAAAATATAATGTAGGAAGACATCTTCTCTATTGGATAATCATTTAAGTTAATTGGAGCATGGGACATACTCTGTTTGTTTTTATGATCATAATTTGTAATCTTATTATAATTTATCTTTCTGAGTCAAAATTTGCCTTTAGTGATGTCTCTCGAATTCGTAATCATAAGGCAATGTTTTCCTAGTAGGACTAGGTTATTCG